GAGATGCCTTTGAGTAACTAAGAGAATAAATTACGATCCTCCCAGCAGGCATCAGAATTCCTTTTTGGGATTCTCCCGATAAACTACTTGGGGTGGAAACCTAAATCCTTAGAGATGAGTTAGCTTGAGAAGTTCAACAGAGAAGGTTGAACTACTTGGATTTAGGCATGCAAAGAATTTAAGAAGGGAAAAGAGAAGAAATGCTGCAGAGTTTATGGCAGAGAGCAAAACGACTTCTCAGAAAAGGAGAATCCAACACTAAATGGTAAGGGTTTTACTTCATTCTGCTGTGTAGCATTCCAGTTTTCACATAGACCACCCCACGTCCCTTCCAAGGCTTCAGTAAAGGTAACTGCTGAAGAATTTTCCTATAGTTTGCTTATTTATTTCCACTTTCAACTTTCTAAAACAAATTTTAAAAAAGCAAATCCCACGCCTTCTTTATATGTTTGGGACAGAAATGTACTTTTAGATAAGGATGTTGTCACTTAAGCGGAAATAGTTCCTCCCCAGAGGTGAGCCCTATGGGAGGACAAGCCTGTCTCTCTCTTCCTGCGCTCAGAACCCTCCCCTGCTGGCCACTGTCAGAAAGGTTAGTCTGTGGACCATACTCTTGGTCTCTGGTCATTGTGCCTCCTTTCGCCCCTGCCCCATCCCTCCTCATTTGCTCTTGAATGTACATGTCACCATCATTAACAACCTTTATACTATTACCAACAACGATGGATTAATTAGCCCTCGTCTAATCTGACTGCCACCATTTATTCATTGTTCTCTTTCATGTTTTCTTTATTAAACAAAATAAAAAATAGCAAAAAAAATGATTAGACACAATATAGAATTTCAGTAAACAAAATAATAGGAATTCAGCAATGGCTGTTAATGCGGCATGCTGTTGTCTTCCAGTTAGTAGTGTGGATAATTGTGCTGCTGATTTCTGCCGCTCTAGCGAAAGGAGCACTTAATGCTTACATTTTGTTCACTCTCCTTTTCAATCCCTTAAAACTTTTTTCACCAATTTTGCTTATAACTAGTAATCTTATTGGTTTCTTGATCAGACACTTGAGCCACCACAAGCCATAGTGCCTTAAGTAATTTGCTTTTTCTCAGTACGCTTTACTGGACTCTAATATTTTTAACCTCTAAACACTGGATCAGAGCCTCCCTACTCCTTTTCTCTTTTCACCTGCTTTCACTAGCAGGTAATCCCTATCAGTCTGACAGATTTATATGTACTAACATGTTGCCAAACTTACACTTCTATAAATCGATTTCTCATTCAAACTCCCTGCTTATAAAATAAAAAAGCTCAAATTTGAATTTCATATATACCTCATGGCGTCACTTAAATGTGCAGTAGATGTGTCAGTCTCCCTGATTGTCCCCTTCCACAGCCTTTCTGTCTTAATAAGTGTCAATTACACCCTTCTAGTTCTCAAACTGAAAACTGTGCATCACCCTTGATGTCTCTCTTTTGCTTACATCAGATATCTTATTCATCATCAACTTCTACAGTATCTACTCTCAATATATAGCCAGACTTGAATCACTTCCAACTACTTCACTGTCAATCTCCTGGCTTAAGCAGCAACTACCGTATTTCACCTGAATTTTGCCATAGCATTTTACCAGTCTTCATGCAGCTCCACTCTTTCCCCTATACCATGTCTCTCAATCTTGGCATTATTGAGGGTTTAGGTTAATAATCACCCTTTATTATATAGTCTATCTTGAGCAACACAGGATGTTTTGCAGTACCCTAATCTCTACTTAATAATGCTAGTAGCATGCACCCTACCTACCAACCCAAATGATGACAAACAAAACTGTCTCCAGACAGGATCAAGTTGCTCAAGAGGGACACAGTTCCTACCAACTCAGCACCATTGCCTTGCAGTGCATCTCACCATAGCCATAAGAAGGACTTTCACAACATAAGTCAGATTGATGATATAATCAATATATATCAATCAATATAACAATATAACTGATTATTTAGTCAGGTTGATTATATCATACCTCTGACCAAAATAGACTAGGAGGGAATAGAATCTGGAGAAAAAAGAATCAAGATATATTATGTACAGGTACAAATTCCCTAGGATGAATGTAAACATTATATATATATATATATATATATATATATATATAGTTTACCAATGAAATTAATTTTAAAATAAATAAATACTGGAACATAAGAGAAAGAAAATGCCTACATGCTGCCCACTGCCTGCTGGCTCTGCATAATTTGCTGTCCACCCATCACAGCTGCAGAGTGGCACCAACTTCCCACCCTACTATTTACTCGATACACTGGGAAGCCTCACTACTCAGAAGCTAAGCATTTTGTTCCTGGGTCTACCCTTCCCACCCAACGGTGTCTACTGACCATAAACCCATTCCCTTGAGTTCACTGCTCAAAAGGCCTCTGTGAAGCTCTCTAAGATTGAACATTTAAAAGACTCACTTTTTTCCCCATCTGCCCCGCATATTATCACTCTGTTTTATCTTTATTTTTAATGGTGTCTGTCTCCATCCAGCAAGCTGTACATGTTTAAAACGCTTGTCTCCACTGAATAGGAGTAAGCCCTAGGAAGAATGTTTTTACCTATTTTGTTCACTTTTGCATCTGCATTATGTTAAAGATGCCTATGATATGCACTCAATAAATGCTTACAGGATAAGTAAGGGCATAAAAGAGAGTACACCAGGTCTTTGAAAGCATCTTAGGCAATCTAGAGGCAGCCTCATCTAATACCAAGAGTACTGCTATAGGCACCACTAATACAGATTGAATTGTTATTCACATAAAATTAAAGTATAATTCCTAATGTGCAATGAAAAGTAAAAATTGCCAAAATGCCTCTGTGCTTAAGGATCACTATAGAGTGGATATTAGAAAACATACTTACAAATTCATTATCATTTAGATGTAAACAGCTATGTATAAAATAAGTAGAACTTAAAGAGGAATTTTACAAAGTACATTGGTGGTGTCAATTCCCCTAGATATATAAAAAGCAATATGCTGGGGTAAGTCAAATCATTCAATTATATACATCATAAGGTAGCTTAACAAGTAACAGTAACAGTGAACAAAGCTCTTTACTATAAATGAAAGCATGCATGGTTCAATTGTAAGGGAAACAGAGGAGCAGAAATGCTTCCTGCTGCAACCTGACAGCTACATGGAAGCCTTGAAGTTCTATATTGAGTTCTGCTAATTACTGGTTTGAAGGGGACAGTGAAAGACCCACATTTTCTCTTGCAGATCTTGCAACATAAGCACTTGTGAATTTTACATTAGGGTCAAGCTGGGAAGTTCCCAGCCAGCTGTACCTGCAGTAGCAACAGAGTCACCTCCAATGCAAATGAGGTCAGGTGTTCTTTTCTGCCCTGGGTGACTACCAGGGAGGCTTCAGTGTAACAGATTCTAACAGGGAGGTAAATCAGAAGTGAAAAAAAGAGAAAGAACAGAGCAGAGCAAAGCACAGATCCTATTTGAAATAAAACTTTGCCTATTGATTCTTAGAACAATTTCAAAGAGACCTTAGAATTTTGCAGTATAACTCAGAACAACTGTACGCCCTTCTCACAGATAACGATATCTGTGATTCTACCTACTTTCAAACTAGCTACTCATTGTAAGACCAATAAAGCTACACAGCAGGCAGGTGCTTTAGTGAAATAGGCCCAGTTCTCCAGGGAGGAGAACCTGTGGCTTAAACTAATGCTTTTGATCAAATAAATACTTTATTCTTACTAATGAAAAATACCTTTTATGTGGATCTAATCAAAAATGCTCTTGGGAAGAAAAATGGTGGATGGGGAAAGAGGAGAGCAGGAAAATTATTGCAATGCAATATCCCACTACAGGTTCTCTGAGAAGAAAACAGAACTTCAACATTTCTAATTCGTATGCATGCCCTATCAAGGTCCAGGAATGCCACAACCCAATCTCTGGTAAAAGCAAAAACTTTATTCTAATTAGGATAACAAATTGATTCATTTATTCATTTGACCAACAATCATTAAATGCATTCCTTTTGTAAAAGGAAGAAGTGTAAGAGCATTCACAGAGCACACAACCTGCATTACCACTGTTTCTCTTCCTTATTCTTTATATTCTATTTATTATAACTGCGTACTAGCAATATGAATGAACAAAAATAATCTTTTTTTTTTTCTGGGAATCAAAAAACCCAAAAATAATCTAAGGAATGACTAATTCATTAAGAGTTGACATCTTGGAATTTGGAAAAAAATAAACTCATCATGCTCAAGAAACTCCTTTCTTTAAAAAAAAAAAAAAACTTTGCTGATTGGCTTATTTCATACAAGGTCTCGTTATACAGTTCCGACTCAGATTGATTCTCTTGTCTCAGCCTCCTCAGTGCTGGGATTACAGGTGTGCACCACCACATCTGGTTTCAGGGCCAGCACAGTGCTCCTGGGGCCCCAGGGCCAGCATGGCATGCTGTATCAGGGATCAAACTTGGGTCTTGGCACTTGCCAGGCAGGCACTTAGACTACCAATGGTCTCCCCATGAATGAGAGACTTCTCTATGTAAGATACTAAATAATTCTGGGAGTCATCAAGACCGCATTTGAAATCCCAGTTCTTTACCTACTGATGATCTAAATGAAGAGAAAAATCTCATGTCTCAGTTTTTTGTGTTGAAACTATTCTAACTAAGCTACTCACATAGTAGTTATGATTAAACGTGAGGTTGGCAAGCACCCCTCCATAGGACAGATTCAACAAAGTACAGCTACCTAAGCTTACAGAATGCCTTTCTTAATTCCCACAAGTACTCATTGGCAAGATTCCAGAAACACTAAATTTTATTTTACCTCTTCAAAAGAAACTATTTCTCTTATTCACTACTGCTAAAAATATAAACCTTTGCATTTTCATGCCCCTGAGTGTCTCAAATGCATGAAGAAGAAATTTTACCTTCAAGGAGCTCTTCCAATAAAATAACCAAGAAAATTCTTACCTAGTTTTGGCAAGGAATAGGGCACTTTAAAGTAGTCTTCATAAAATTCTATTAATCTCTTTGTAATATGAAGAGCATAGTCCCCAGATCCTCTTCTGATAGCATCAGGTCTTGCATATAATCGGACCTAATTAAAAATATATATAAAAGATACTTTAGCCTGTTGTTACTCAAGTTTTATCTTCCCTGAAAATACAAATCAACAGAAAGCACTTCAGATACCAGTATGACAAAAATTAAATAGGATTTTAGCTCATATATCAAAACACACTCTGGCTGAGAGAACTAAACAATTAAAGTAATCAAACTGAGCAAGCCACAATTTCCTCACTTACAAGAAAATGCACAGAAGATTTGCACAAGGTGTATCAAATAAATATTCAAAGTTATCACAAAGCATGCTTTGTCAGAGATAGGAGGAAACGCTGGATTAGTATGATGGGACCATGACTGTGCTGACAGGAAGTACGGCGTAGTGGCTCAACAGGGGGAAGAATCATGCATGGTTTGTGAAAGGCACATTGTATCAAGGTTTGGAAATAGTACCAGACTGTGGGAAAAAACATACAACTCATACTTCCTTATTTTTGGAGTCTACTGTCCTTACTTTCAATGTGCAAGTAAGAATAGAAATTTTTCACGTACATAAGCAATCACCATTCTAGAAATCTGTCTGCAACTGTTTCTACTTCCAAACCCAGCTGAAGTCATTCACATTTCTAACACAATCCAGCTACTTAACACTGATTTTGAAAGCAAGCATCATAAATTACCTATCCTTGGCCACAAGAAAGCCTAAAGCCAGAAACATGAGGCTGAACAAAACTAGCAATTGTATGGAAAAGGTTAAAACGAGATTAGTTTTCATAAAACTATCAGGATCTTTCCTTCCCAAGACCAAATCTATTTTTCACAGATGTGGCCCCAAATCCTCATATCAATTCTTTGAATGAGAAATACATAGTTTGCTGAGCAATAGAGAAGCGCTGCAGCCTGCGAGATGGATTTCAGTCCTACTCTGTCACTAACCGCACTGAGGGATATTAAACAAATGACTTTGCCTCTTCAGGTCTTAAAAGTTCTCATTTATAAAATGAAGGTGCTGGCCACCATCTGGCAGCTAAAGTGTTCTTCAGTTCTAAAGTACATTGCTCCCAATCCCATTTTCCAGATAAGGGAGTTTGCATGCCTTTCAAGTCACTAGAAAAATAAAATAGTTTGCTCAGTAAACCAAAATGGATGTTTATATTCAGCAAAAAAAAAAAAAAAAAACAGGAAAAAGGTATACTCAATCATAACACAAAAACTGATTGTACAATTAACTATTATTCATGCTTAGAGAAACCAAAGATGTGTACAATCAAAAAGAATAGTCAATGTCAAGGAAAAATAACTTTTGACTTTGTTAGAAAGACCTATATCCTATAAGGTGTGTACCATATTCAATAATAGTTGACAAATGATGAAGCTGCCTCCCTCTCATAAACTGCATCAAATGTCAAGTTAGTTTACAGTAGCCAACATTTTTGGCTGACAGAGGAGAGAGGCTCTGAGCGAGCAGAACACGGAAAAAGCGACCCGCCTTTAAAAGTAGCTGCTTTTGTAAACATGAAATGCTTTAGCGTTCTAAAGAGCTTTTGAGACTGCAGATGATGTAAGAAGGAAGTGCTCTCAGGGAAACTAATAAGGGAGTGAGAGAGGCAGGAGAAGAGAGGACACTGGGCCAAGCAAGGGTACAGCTGCAGGGGAAGCCTGGACTCAGCCTGGTCCACTGGGAACTCAAGACTGGGAATGAGGTGGGAAAGCCTGCAGAACGGTGAGGTGAGAAAGCCTGCAGTATGGTGAGGCAGCAGAAGGAGATGCCACACTCGCGCATGTCAATCACTGACTGCTGGGTACCAATAGCAGGACACAAAAAGTCCAGTGCTTCCGGTACTTGAGGTGTGAAGGTGGTGTGGGCACAAACCAGCCAACAAGAGGCCTTTGGCAGAAGTGTCTGGTCTGAGTCCTTTGACCCAGACAGTGAAGGCAGGGAATGGGTACACAGGTCTGTGAAGAGGACGAGTCTGTACACAGACAGCCTCCCCGGAGACAGGAGTCACTCACATGTACATCATTCATTCAACCTGAATTTATTTGGCATTTTCTTTGCACCAGGACCAGGGATAAAAAATTTGTAATTTATCATGTAAAGAAGATGTTTTTTCTCCCCAAAGTATGGACAAAGCATTATCAAAATAAAACAAAATAGTGTAGTTAGCATGCTCACAGAGCTTCTCTTTTACTTGCTAAGGTAAATAGTGACAACAGCTAATGACAACAGCTAGTGGCACATGCACACGCAAGAATGCTAAAATACAAATGGCATTGAATGTTGAGAGAATATGTACTTTTCAAAAAGTTCCAGGCGAAGAGCTAGCCGACAGATGTTAAAACTATAGTGAGGACTACGGCAAAATGAACCCACAAGGGTCGCCAATTTCACACTCAGGAGGTATCACTGATAAGAGTGGCAGGAAGCGCCGTCATCCCTACCAACCAGTTCTATTAGTTAGCCGAACATTCTGCAGACCCAGACAAGAGACACGTGACTGTATCAATCTGCTTGCCAGGATTTGCTGGAATTACTCCAATCTGAGTGAGAAGATAAAACATCTGCGTGCTCAGCACTGTCTGCATGTGCTCATTCAAACACTGCATCGTATGCCTGCTGTGTGCCAGGCACTGTATCAGGGAGTAGAAGGAGAACAAGGAAATTCCCACTACAAAATGAACACGACATTTGTACTTACTGCTCTTAAGAGGTTTACAATATGTGGAAAACAAACAAGTACGTCAACAACAAAAACACAACCTGGGAAATGTAACAGTGTGCCCTGCCTCCCCGTTCATTACAGAGCATGTACACTGCTAAACCTGCTAGATATCGTTCATAAAATGCTCCCCTGTATTTCCCACATCACCACTTATTCATACTGATTATTCTCATCAGCAAACACACTGTGTTGTCTCCTTTTTATGAAGTAAATTATTCTTTTTTATTTCTTTTTAAAGTAAATTATTTGTGATCAGAGTTCTAGCTATAGTTTCCGGCCACGCTCTTGGAAAGCATTTTTAAATGAGGAACATCTAAGTTAACACCCACACTAGAGAGAATGCAAGGAAGGTCTCACAACGTCAGGCGCCGGGTGTGAGCAGGGTGTTTGCTATTTGTCCCCTCCATGTCCACTGCGTCGCACACTCCCCACCGCATTGCTCTGCATCACCTGTGGTCAGCAAGATCAGCAATGTCAAATGCAAATGGCAGCGGGACGCGTCCTCCTTAGCCCATTGGTGCCATTTGCACGGTTGATCTTGCTGTCCTGGAAACACCTTCTTCACTGGGCTTCGCTGACTTCTCCCTCAGTCACACTAACCACCCCTTGCGAATCTCTTGGCCCGTTCCTTCTTATCCTCATCTCAATCACCTCTTAATCTTGGAGGGTCCCAGATGTCAACCCACATAGTTCTTCACATCTCTCTCTCCACTCAGTCACCTGGCAATATGGTCTCTCTCTGTCACTGTCTCTATCTCTCTGTCTCTGTCTCTCTCTCCCCCCTCCTCTCTCTCCTGTCTCTTGGTCTCTGTCTGTCTCTCTCTCTCCCTCCTCTCTTCTCTCTCCACTCTGTCTCTATCTCAGTCTGTCTCTCTCTCCCCTCTCCTCTCTGTCCTCTCTCTGTCTCTGTCTCTGTCTTTCCTCTCCCCTCCCATCTCTCCCCACTCCTCTCTCTCCTCTCTCTCTCCCCCCTCTCCTCTCTCTTCTTTTTCTCTGTCTCTCTGTCTCTGTCTCTTCCCCCTCTTCTCTCTCCTCTGCCTCTCTCTCCCCCTCCTCTCTCTCCTCTGTCTCCCCCTCTTCTCTGTGCTCTCTCTCTGTCTCTGTCTCTGTCTCTGTCTCTCTCTCTCTCTCACACACACACACACACTCTCTCTCTCTTCCATCTAAGACCATTTTCACCTCACTTACTTCCACCTCCAACCTCCCTCCATCCAGTTGTCCAGTCTCAGTACCGCAACATCATCTTTGTTTTCCCCTCTTCCTCACTTTCCAACAAGTCCTTTGGACTATACCTTAAAAACATATGCAGAATCCAGCCATCTCACACCATCCCACTGTTACCACTCTGGTCCAAGCCTCCACTATTTTTTGCCTGGATGAATATTCTAACTTTCCTATTGATGCTTCATCTCTTACTTCTTCCAAGCTGTTCTCTGCAGAGCAACCAAATTCTTCCAGTTAAAATAAGCACCAATTCATGTCACTCATCTTTTTTTCTCTCCACTGGTTTCCCATCTCATTCAAATGGCCCCTAAGTCCTCACATAAACTCAGGTCTCTTTAGTTCCCTGGTTTTATTTCGTATTATTGTGCTGCACACCAACTCCAGTTCCCTCCTGCCTTAGCTCCTCTGATGCTGCTTAAATGTACCACAGACATTATCCATCAAGGCTTTTCAGTTTCTCCCCAGATATTTCCATGGCTCATGCTTCTGTCTTCATGTCATTGTCCAAGTGTCTTATTTTCTAGGAGAATTTCCTTCCTTCCTTCCTT